CTTTTAATCACTGTTTTATTGATTCCTTATCAAAATCAAAGCTGTGACAATTGGGGCGAGACTGCAATAAAACAAGCAAGATCAGTATCAATAAATGTAAAGCTGAAATCTCACATAATTCTCAAGTCTCAGAGATGTCCAATTTATTATGCAGGTAACCACTTCGCATGGCAGAAAGCCACCATGCCTCCCTGATTTGGTGTGAGAGCCAAGTCTGCCCGTGCGTGGCAGTGGCCGTGCAGTCTTCTCTTCTGGGCAGGGACAAGCAGTGACACAGCCACTGGCTTAAGTTTCCTCAAGTCCCAAAGTCACTTTGCTCCATCTTCAGATTGCTTCGCTCCTTCTCTTGCTAACCTATCAGCCTCTTCGTTGCCTATAAATCCTGCGTGACCAGGAATGTGCATCTGTTAAAATAAATAAAAATTTCTCCTTTATTTTTATGAATTTTTATACAAGCAACATATGACAATATTCTCATTGTAAAAAAACCTCAACTGTTCAGAGCAGGGGGGACGGACGAGTCCCCGCATCATCCTCTGAGCAGCCCTCTTCTCCCCAACAGGACATCTCCAACAGCGCGATACATATTTCTCCCAAAGCATGTTATGACAGATGACGTATTTATTACACAAATTCCATTGTTTTTCTATATAAATTGATCTTGCTGTATTCCACACTTGCTTTTTTTGTTCCCGCCCACTTAGGGCAGAATGGGACTTTGGCAAAGGCATTTTCCAGGCAAAAAACACATGTGGTGTTGCAGGAATGGTGGACTGTAATATTATACACATACCAAACACAACGACCATTTCACTTCTCTTCAAAATGCTGGTCAACAAGATAATGGACTGTATTTATTCAACACTATTGTTTCCATGTTATACACTGCTGAAAATTTACAATGCACGGGTTACCACAACTGGTTAACACAGCTCGCCGCTGGGGTAAGGCACACCAAAGGGAGGGCTGAGACTATGGGGTTTGCAGTTGTAATCTTGCTCTGCACATTGCTTTGTAAAAAAAACAAAAAAAAATTTTTTTTGTTTTGGAGAGCAGAGTGTTGCCCACTAGAGCGAGTGCCTTTTGTTTTTTTGTGTTTGTTTGTGTTGTTTAGCTTAGGTCACAGCCAACCCTCATATTCCTGGGGCTCTTTATATAAGCATTTGTTTCTTTCTTTGCCTTTCAAGCCTCTGGTAGTTTGTGTTTATTTTACTACAGGGCATTGTGTTCGTCACCTCCTGCTAGCTTTTTGTTTTTCTACGCACGCTCCATTGTGTTTAGTTGGCTCAATTTTTTTTCTATTTATGTTAGTGTGTATGTTGTTTCTTGTTTCTTGTGTCTTTGCTGGTTTCGGATTTTTCTGCTATGTTAATCTTCTCCCTCCTCTCTTTGTCCTCCTGTTGTTGGATTAGGATTACAGCGATAGGCCCCACCACGCCTGGGCCAAAAAAAAAAACCTTTTTAATAAAAATGATTTATTATTTTTAGAAGTTTCCACTTTGCAATAAAAGTTGTGTTACTAAGGCTTTATCACCCAACCGCATGACAGTTTTATTTAACATGATGGCTCGTTCCCAATGCACCAACAGCTGACTTACAGCTCCCCTCACTAGTGACGAGGCGTGCCTGGGCTAGGCGTCAGCACGCACTGTTAACACACGCGACGACTACAGAGCAGCCCTCGCATCACACAGCCCGCGGAGTCTATACCCAGCAATACTCTCCTTACAACAGCGTTACTCACACGACCATCAGAAGAATCGCATGCATTTTAATATATGCTATGGTAACAATTCAATGGAAACGGTTATAGCACTAATCGCTTATGCAGACAGTTACTCTCTAGTCAGTCTGGTCACAGCAGCCACAGCACTCACCCACTGAATGTCCATACCCTGGGCGAGCTTCTCCAGCGCCACGAAGTCCTCTTTGTTGATCACCTCTTTGCCAGTGCTTGTCTTCCACCCGTTCTTCTTCCAGCCTTCAACCCAGTTCGTTATACCTGCGGGACGACGTGCCCTGGCCAGTCACTCTCAGCGCCCCGGCCTTTGCACCTCCTGAGCCCGACCCCTGACAACTGCTCCCACTGGTATCTGAAGTCGCCACCCTGGACTCTTCACTTCCTTGGTTGGCCTTCCTTGCTCTGGCCTTTGGCACAGCCTGAAACCCCCAAGCCTCTCCCCTTTCCTAGCATGTATTCAACCTACGGCTCTCAGCTTAAGATGTCACTTCCTCCAGGAAGCCTTCCCCGGCTCACAACCACCCTCCCTGTGCTCCTACACACGCACCACATTTACAGGGAAGTGCCAGGAGAGCAGAGACACACCCACTCAGGACCGCACCTCCAGTACCCAACAAAGAAATAAGCACGGGGGAACACTGAGCAGCAGAACTGAGACCCCCAAATCCTCACTCTCTCCTCTGTACCCCACCAGCCAGATATCATCCCCACTGCCATCTGGGTCCTGCTCTGTTACAACGCCTCCTACTGGGGAAAGAAACACCCGTTTCCCTCCATAGTTAACCAGAAAAACACGGAGACACAAAACGTGAAGGCTTACCGTTTATAGTAAACATGCTGTCGGTATACAGGACCAGCTTACTGATGTTTTGAGCCTTGGCTTGTTCAATGGCTTTGCAGGCTGCCTTGAAAAAACAAGTTGATAGTCATGCTATAGAAAATGTTCAACTTTGACACGACTGATGCTCAAAATTATTCAGAACTGAAAAATCTGCCCCTTTTGCACCCTTCCTTTTGCTCTTTTCCTGCCATGACAGTGGGTCTGGTCGTCATCTGTGGAGAATGTATCACACTCTGGCCTTATAGGCCTATCTTTCTCTCCTCCGTAAACCTCATTTTTGTGCTTGCCTTAAAAAACAAGAAAAATCCCTTCTTTTACTGTACTGTGATTATATTCTCTATATGAAATACATACATACAATTGAAATATATGACATACATACAATTCTCCTGTGTAGACACCCATTTGAAATAAGTTCTTAAAATTATTCTAAAAAATTCTTATCTTTCAGAATTGTTACTATTCCCAAGTTTCTTCTAGACTTACAGTATCTTATATATGTAGATAGTTTTAAAACACTGGTATTTTCATAGTCAACGCTAAAAAGGGATAAAACAAATATATTTGATAACTTACATGAATTTCTGCTCTTTGGTTGGTCTGTCGCCCAGGAAGTCTAATGCCTACGTTTCTGTTTCAAAACAGTGCAAAAGAAAATTATAAACCTGATTCTCAAAGTGATTCCTCTTAATGGATAACAATAAGCTAGTGTGTATTTTTATTTGAAATATAACAGCATCAGATGAAAACACAGCCTTTAAAAATCGGGAGGAGCAAGTCACTTTCTGCACTCGGCACCTTCTGACTTGCCTGGGCGTTCAGGGCAGAGGGAGCGCTAGTTCTCTGCCGGCCCTGCGCCAGGCCCTGTGGCGGCAGTGGAAAGACTCCCAGGAGAAAACTCAGGAATAAAAACGGAGAGAGTCGGACTTTACACTGAAATTTCCAGATAGCTTCAGGAAGTAAAGGAGGACAAAGAAAACAAGGAACCCAAAAAACCCTCAGACCAGGTAATTAGATCTTGGAGTAAGCCAGGTGTGGTGCTGCACATCTGTGGTCCCAGCTACTTAGGAGGCTGAGGCAGGAGGATCACAAGTCCAGGAGTTCAAGTCTAGTCCGGAAACAAAACTCCAGCTCTCCTAAGAGAAAAAGTGCTGACTGGTGCTTATCATCCCAGCACTTGGGGAGGCCAAGGCAAGAGGATCATTTGAGGCTAGGAGTTTTGACACCAGCCAGGGCAACATAGTGAGACCCTGTTTCTAAAAAAATTTTTTTAAAAATTAGGTAGACATGGTGGTGTATGCCTGCAGTCCCAGCCATTGAGGAGGCTGAGGTAGGAGGATTGCATGAACCCAGGAATTGGTAGCTGCAGTGAGCTACGGTTGTACCATGGCACTTCAGCCTGGGCAACAGATTGAGACTCTGTCTCTGAGGGGGGGAAAAAAAAAAAAAGAAACAAAACAACCTTGGAGTAACCATGACATCAGAGCTTCCTAAAAGAACAGGCATTTTTTGAATTAGAAGAGTTGAGGAAGCAGCATGAACAGTATAAAGCAATTGCCCTGTTTAATTTCTGAAAGCCAAGAGCCAAGTTTAATTTGTGGACCTGAGAGGCATTAATAGGTGTCTTAGGCAAGCTCTAAGCCCACGCACACTCAGTGCCACGCAGGCCTGCCTCCTCTTCTGGGGTTCCCAGCCAAAATGAGAAGTTACAATGAAAGGAAGTGAAAAACCTTTGTAAACTATAAGCTCAATGGAAAGCTGCAGTAGAATTATTATGGGCAATTTACATTAAATAAGCCTGACGGTGCTGTGGGCCCAGGAGAGGGATGTGCAGAACCCAGCAGGGCTACTGGCCACTCCACAGGGTCCCTCACACCCAGGGGCTGGGTGTATCTGAGGGACTGCATTTCATATCACCTTGACTTTGTGCCTTTTGAAAAACAAGGGACCACCTCCAAGAGGGCCTAGTGATGTGACGGTCTGCCCCTGACCTGCCCTGGTGCAGCCCTGCCAAGAGACAGCTCCCAGGGTGCCAGGTGACTCTGCAGTTAAGAGGCAGCGAGGTCGTGCTGGGGTAAAAGCTCACCAGTGAGACAGACTAACCCAGAGTCAGGCCATGAAGGCAAGGCCAAGCGAGGTGCCTGGCGTTCTGAAGAGCAGCGCTATTCCGACTCAACACGAATCACAGCTCTGCTCTTCTGCTCTTTCCTGCCGAAGCTGTTTATTTGGCAGGTTTTGCAAATAATCACCCCATGAACAGTTCCTGCCTCACCTTATCACGAGTTCTGGAATGTGATTCAGTAAAGCATGAAGCTTAAACTCAGCTTCCTTGGCTTACTTACAGGGGATGGCCCGGGCCCCAGTACACACCGATGCCTGCCCGCGCCCTCCTCCGCCCGTTACTGGAGCAGCAGCCATCAGTGTAGACGACGACAAAGTCTCCTGTGGGAGGGAAACAGTGAGTGCTATCAAGTCAGCAGTACTGAAAACTGAAACCCACCTCCAAACTTCACTGTGGTTGAGTCAGCGTTTTAAACTCAGGGCATTTTACAATGCTGTAGAAGTTACCTGTCCAGGAAAACAGGATCAATTCTTTACATGAGGCACTGGACACTTTTTGCTTGAAATCACTTATATTTCAGTCTCACATGCCAGGCAAGTTCAGGGCAAAGGCAGAGACACTTTGTAGAGGAGAACTCACTGCCATGAGAACTGCTGCTTACAACCCACACTGAAGCGTCAAAGGACAAATGGGCCTGTCCTTTCTATGCAGGGTCACCTTCACTCAGGAATGCCGTCCACCCAGAGACAAGCTGATGCTTGTCAGTAAGACGGCGACCCTGCCCACCAGGAGGTCCAGTCCCCTGACCAACACGGCCCTCATTTCTTTCCTGGCGTATCTGCCACTAGTCAACTGCGGCCCCATCTTAGCTCCTTTCCATCAAGGCAGAGGGTGTGATCGACACACCAAGGCTGCAAAGAACAAGGTGGAAAAGGACCGATATGGGTCACTCTCAGGCCACTAGTGACGACCAGCAAACACTCTGAGCAGCACGGTGGGAGCAGAAGTCAGGTTGCAGAGTGTCAAAGAGCAGGGCGTGGGAGCAAACAGAGGCGGCAGGCGTAGGAGGCGTTTGCCCAAAGGGCTGCAGACGAGCACAGCAGAGGCAAAGGGGAAAGGAGCTCTGGGACAGGATGGGGCCCTGTCCTCACAGGAGCGGGCTGGGAGCCTGCAAGCACATGGCTATCAGGCAAGCCTGCTTGGTCCTGCTGGAATTTGATTCCAGCAGCATGACTGCAAACTGCCTGGCCACTGCACTGCCTCAGCTGTGAGCACCTATTCTAGGCCCTTCCAGCAACTGTCAGCACACTGCAAAGGGCTGGCGTCCCTACTACTCCGCAAGGACTTGCTTCCATTCCTATCAGTAAATAACCAAATAAAGAATACTTGATTTTTTTTTTTCACATAACTGCAAAACTGATATAAAACACAGCTTGATAAAACATTTTCTATGGTTTCCCTTGAATTAAATTAGAACCTACTTTTTTCTGTTCATACATATAAAAGACAAAAAGGAGACTTATGTACCATAAGTCACTAAATATATACAGCTGATTACTGGAGCTAAAGGTAGAAGAAAAGCTCATTACTATTTTGTTTCTCAGGATAAGGTAGGATCTCTTATGTTTTACAAATATTAAACATAAAAGGTTAAAATGCTGGTGCTAGTTGATTTTAACAAGCAGCTCTATCTAGGGCCTTCATTATGTAAAGAAGTAAAATCTTGGCATTTTCCTTAACTTAGTGAAGTACTGTGTGCATAGGGAATCCCTGCCTGTCTTTCAAAGGATTATAATGTCTTTCATTTCTAGTCTATAAAATGGTTTTCCCAAGATACCCAAAAGCTTAATTCTGCACTACTTGATCAATTATCATATTAAATAGTGACTATAGTGATCTGTAAATATTCTTTACAGATAAGAATGAGGACGATAAACAACAGCTCAAATTCCCCCTAAAAAGTGGAAAAAGCTTTTACATAAATATTTTCACAGTTGTTATATTAAAAATCAAAAAAAAAAATACATACCCATATAAGAAAATGTGTCTTTGCTAACTGGAGGGGCCGATTCTGTGTCCTGTTTAACATGCTTTGCACATGGCTCTGTGCTTTCATCTTCATCCAGTGGCTCACGGGGGCGCTTGCTGGCTTTCACTGGTGATTCCTGTACATGTTTATTCTTCTGCCCTGAAAGATGGAGTCTACTCGTGAGCCAGAAACAACGACCATAACATGAAATGCTTAAGAATGAGGAAATCCAGGCCAGGCACGGTGGCTCACGCCTGTAATCCTAGCATTCTGGGAGGCCGAGGTGGGTGGATCACTCAAGGACAGGAGTTCAAAACCAGCCTAAGCAAGTGTGAGACCCCATCTCTACTATAAATAGAAACAAATATATGGCCAACTAATATTTATAAATAAATAAATAGACTAAATTTTCTTTTTTTTTGAGACAGAGTCTCGCTTTGTTGCCCAGGCTAGAGTGAGTGCCGTGGCGTCAGCCTAGCTCACAGGAACCTCAAACTCCTGCACTCAAGCAATCCTTGTGTCTCAGCCTCCCAAGTAACTGGGACTACAGGCATGCGCCACCATGCCCGGCTAATTTTTTCTATATATTTTTAGTTGGCCAATTAATTTCTTTCTATTTTTAGTAGAGATGGGGTCTCGTTCTTGCTCAGGCTGGTTTCAAACTCCTGACCTAGAGCAATCCGCCTGCCTCGGCCTCCCAGAGTGCTAGGATTACAGGGTGAGCCAAAGATTTAGTCTTAATAAACAGAAACATACTTATATTGGAAGGATTGACATACGAATAAATTACTAATTGGTTAAGAACAAAATATCTGTGAAAAGAAACTATTAAGAATCCAACCTCAACCAAGAAGACAGGAGCCATACTTTCAAACTTGCTTTCTGTCCAGAACCGACTTCTCCATCTGGGTAGAAAATGTAACCGTCACACCAGAAGCCCCTTTAACAGCCACTGGGGAGGGAGAGGGTGAAGCAGAAACGCACTGAACGATGCTCTCACTGCCTCTGGATGAGCCCCTAGCGGTTCTGAGTCTGACCTGCCTCCCTCTGAACTGTGCTTTGTCCAGGATTGTCTGACATCCCAAAGGAGTAGTTGTTTGGTATTTGAGCATCTTAGCGGACTCCACAGAGACTTTTCAAGAGAAACTGATTAAAACTTTGCTCTGTTCAGTCTTAATCCCCTGTAGTAAAAAAGTGAGTAAGTAAAGTTCATGAAAAATCACTTCCTCAAGGTAGGTTCAGATACATTTTTAAAATCTTGTGCTCTAACGTAGAGTCACCTTGCTTATCTGAGTCCTGCATATTTGATGTCCCTTATATTAGGCCTTAAACTTCGAATAACTATACTTTCTGTAACACTTGAAATTGGAAGAAATACAGATTGTATAGCTCTGTCTTAAATAAAAAGGAACCACCACAAGGGTGCATGCCATGAAAGGAACCACATTCATCCCTTTAAAACCACAGCCCATTCAGTCCAATAACGGTGCAAGCTTTTTCAAAAAGACAAGAAATTATGGCACAGTGAGGTCACCGAATGGAATAGGGCATCTGAGTCCTGCTTGTCTCTAATATTGTTACTGACACGAACCGCTATTCTTAACTGCTTCCAGCCTGTTTCCTAATTTGTAAAATGAAAACAATCACAGTATCTTCTTTATGTGCCTAGAAGGTAGCTATATAGATCAGATGACATCTGGGATTTGAAAGGCTGTGAATATGTTAAAATGTCACATTGATGTGAGAGATGACTACCTTCTGAACTGTCTGGGCTTGCAGAGTTCCTGACAAAGGCCCAGGCCTCATCTTCTGTAGCAAACTTCTTAAATCTGGCAGCAGGAAACCGGTCCACTTGTGCTTTGCAGTCATTCCTGGAAGAGATGTACAATATTATTACCTTCCTCTTTCCCTTTAACTTATCTGCTTTTTAATTAATATTATTTTCTCAAGTTGGGAATACAGTTGTCTCTTGTTATCCAAAGGGGATTGGTTCCAGGATCTCCCCTGCCTTCCTGATGGATACCAAGATCAGAGGATGCCCAAAGTCCCTTAAATAAAATGGTCTATTTGTATATAAACTACACACATCTTCCTGTAGATTACCTCTAGATTACCTATAACAGTTAATACAATGTTACGGCACTCACTCTAGCCTGGGCAAGAAAGTGAGACTCTGTCTCAAAAAAAAAAAAAAAAATACAATGTAAATGGTTATGTAAATAGTTGTTAAACTGTATTGCGTTTTTTTTTTGTTTTGTTTGGTTTTTTGGTTTTTTTGAGACAGGGTCTTGCTCTGTCGCCCTGGCTAGAGAGCTGTGTGGTGTCATCATACCTCACTGCAAGCTCAAGCTCTTGGGCTCAAGTCATCCTCTTGCCTCAGCCTCCTGAGTAGCTGGGACTATAGGCGCAAGCCATAGCATCTGGCTAATTTTTCTATTAAATACTTTTTGTAGACACAAGGTCTCACTCTTGCTCAGGCTGGTTTCAAACTCCTGACCTCAAGCCATTTTCCACCTTGGCCTCCCAAAACGCTAGAATTACAGGTGTAAGCCACTGTACCCAACCTCCCGTATTGTCTTTTTATATGTTTTAAAAAATTGTTTTATTTATTTATTTATTTTTGAGACAAAGTCTTCTCCTGTTGCCCAAGCTAGAGTACAATGGCATCATCATAGCTCACAAAACCTTCAACTCCTGGGCTCCATTGTTATTATTGTATTTTTTATTATTTTTTTCCTGAAATATTTTTGATCCATGGTTGGTTGAGTCCAAGTATGTGGACTGCAGATACAGAGGAGGGACTGTAGTGTGAAAAAGATGGGCTGTCAGTTCCTTGGAGGCAAAGAGTCATACCTTACAGTTCTTAGTTTTATCCTGCACATCACCCTGTTTTCTACTGTATGCCAGCCAGAGCACCATAAAACTTTCCTCAAACTCAAAGCATACTAAAATTCTGGGGTCTAAGTAAAAGAAATTCTATTAATCGTTCCATTACAGAAAAAGTTCAACTTCTGAGCTGCTTCTTCCTCAATACTATAGCTGCCATGTATAGGGAAACACAGATAATAAACCTAGATATCACACGGTGGGAAGAGTTTCTGGTCGTGGAGTCAGAACATCTGGGTTCCAGTCCTATTTCTGTCATTTACTTGCCCTGTGAGCTTCCTGGCCACTGGAAATACACCTCACAATGAGAATAATCCCACCCACCTCCAAGGATTGTTACAGGGATCCAATTGCAAAAACCAGTTTATCATAATTTCTCTTTTTAAAAACACAGGGAAGATTAAATACGGTACTGAGTTCCAGCTCCAATTTAACTGGTACTGGCAATGCTGGTTGGTACCGATTACGTGTTACCTTTGGGGAATTCTCTAACTGCAACCACAAAAGAAAAGCATTAACTACAGGCCCCTGGCCACCCTCAAGCTTTATGTGGCGTTTTTGGTATTCTAAACAGAAATTCGCCGGAGGCGCGCCTCCAGGCCGGGAGCCCCCCGGAACACGCCTGCAGGGCAGGGAGGCGGGGCGCAGACCCGACCTACCCACGGAGTCCGGGAGCCGCACACGCCGCGACACCCAGGCTCTCGCCGCCGGGTTCACCGAGCGCCGGCAGGGAGCTGCCTCGGGGGGAGACCACTCACCAGGTCAGAAAGACCCCGGTCCTGCGGCCCCTCCTCACGGCATAGAACATCCCGAGCCCGCAACAGCCGCGACTGCAGTGCACGGCAGCCAAGGCGACTCTGTGGGCCAGCGACAGCAGCCTGCCCATCACTCAATCCCGGGCACTGAGGCGCATCTTGCCTCCGGGCCATGGGCTTCCGGAAACAGCCCCAGCAAACCCCTACAGTCACACTTCCGCCGGCGGCGCAGGGAGATGACGCACATCCGGGCTGGCCCCGTGCGGAGGGGCGGGGTCTAGGGAAGGGCGGAGTCTAGGGGAGGCCGGAGCAGGAGGGGGCCTGGAGCCGCGCGCCTTTTGAGCGCATCAGTTTCCGCGACATCAACTAGAAAGTGAGACCCCGGGGAGGTCCCGCAGTGGGGTCCCGTCTGGGGCGGGGCCCGGCGGAGGGCCTAGAGCCCGGCGAGCTCCGGGGTGGGGCGGAGCCTAGAGAGGCGCGAGGGCTGTGGGCGGGGCCTACGGGGCGGGGCCGGGCGCACCTGCCGGCGGAAGCCCCGCCCCACAGGGAGGCGGTGGCGGGTGGGTGTAGTGCCTCAGTTTCTATCCGCCCGGCTGCACTTCCAGTCCTGGTTCCCCACCTCGGCCGCGGGGAGCTGGTCCACGCTGGGGCCCGGCCCCCGCCGGCGTCACGCTGGGACCCCGACAGCTCCCCGAGGCCACCGGGTGGAAGGCTGCTCGCTTAGTTGTTTTTAGTGGGCTGCAAGACATTCGGATTCACGGAGTGAATAAGCACAAACGGCGGGAGAAGAGGGTGCCATTTCTTGGGTGCACGCCTCTGGAGGGGTGCGGTCCCCTTTCTGCACCCCTGCAAGTGGGCATTTAGCTAGGGGGTGTCCAGCGCTGAAAGTACTGGGAGCGGGGCGAGGGGGGGTGTAGTTGGGAAGTTGAAGTCTCGGGATTCTGCTCAGTATTTGATTTTTTGCTTTGTAAGGAAACCAAGTCCTTTTAAAAGTCTTCTCCATTAGCAAGCTTTGTTTTTCAAATTAATTTTGCACTGCTTTAGTTATCTTTAAATCTCAACAACCCCTTTTGAACACCTGCTGTGTGCTGTGTCAGGCTCTGGGGGATACAAGGTCCAAGCGCCCGGGAATCCCCAGAGAAGTGTCAGCAAATAGACTACAGGTGGAACACGCTGCTTGAGAAGTGCGTGCCGGACAAAGCAGACAGTAGCTGCGCCTAGTCAGGTGAGACCCAACGTCAAGACCCAGTGGAGTTTTTTTTTTTTGTTTTTTTTTTGAGACAGAGTCTCACTCTGTTGCCAGGTCTAGAGTGCCGTGGCATTAGCCTAGCTCACAGCAACCTCAAACTCCTGGGCTCAAGCGATCCTTCTGCCTCAGCCTTCTGAGTAGCTGGGACTACAGGCATGCGCCACCATGCCTGGCTAATTTTTTCTATATATATTTTTTAGTTGTCCATATAATTTATTTCTATTTTTAGTAGAGATGCTGTCTCGCTCTTGCTCAGGCTGGTCTTGAACTCCTGAGCTCAAACGACCCAGCTGCCTTGGCCTCCCAGAGTTCTAGGATTACAGGCGTGAACTGCTGTGCCCGGCCTCAATGAAGTTTTGAAGGCTAATAAAAAAAAAAAGTTCATTCCCATGAATTTCACCGAAAGGAGGCAGCATATTGCAGGAATAAGGGATGGCCAGGCAAAGGCGAGATGTGTCTTGGTGTGGTCAGATGTGTTCTTATGTGAACTCACGGAACATAAATTTTAAACATTTCAACTTTTCTAATTTGAATTAAGATTGGCTATACCTTTTATTCCTCTTTTCTTTTTATTTATTTATTTATTCATTTTGAGACAGAGTCTCACTCTGTTGCCCAGGCGAGAGTGAGTGCCGTGGCGTCAGCCTAGTTCACAGCAACCTCCAACTCCTGGGCTCAAGCGATCCTCCTGCTCCAGCTTCCTGAATAGCTGGGACTACAGGGATCTGCCACCCCTCATGGCTGATTTTTTTCCTAATTTTTGTAGAGACGGGGTCTCGCTCTTCCTCAGACTGGTCTTGAACTCCTGAACTCAAGCCATCCTCCTGCCTCAGCCTCCAGGATTGCTAGGATTACAGGTGTGAGACACTCACTGCCTGGCATTAGCAAAGGTTATTGATGACGAGGTTGATATATGCAAATCATTTGAAGAATGCGCAGCTGTCATAGACGTCTTAATTGGAGAATACAATGAAAGTTTCACTGGCTTTGAATTAGCACTTCAGCTTCATCTGGTTGATGTCTCCAGGGCACATAAAGAACTACAGATGGAATCGATTGAGCTCTCAGTAGATGGCATTTTAAAGCCATTGATGCTAAAAATGATCCAACTGCAATATGGAAAAATGCAGTAGAATACCCACACCTTCGGCAACATGCCCGAAAAATGCTTTCTTGCTTTTCAACCACTTATTGCTGAGAATCTACACTCTCCTACATGCTCCTACCTAACCCAAATCAAGATGCCCTTAAGGTCACAAATGACTGATACCTAGCTAGAGGATCAGCTGGAACTGCGGACCTCCGTGGTGCAGCCAGATATTCAAATATTTGCTCTCCATCAGAAAGCAGACACAACAAAGTCAGTAAAAGGTTAGTTAACTTTAAAATTAACAAATCATTTCCATATTTTGAAATTATTAGTACATAGTAGTTAGATTTTTACAAAAAAATGTACATTTTTAAGTATATCTAAATGAAGTTTCTTGAATGTGGCCTTATTTGATTACAGTTAAACTAATGAGGCTTCCAACATGAAAAGGTTCTACGCTGCTGGGTTAAAGAAATATGTTTAAAATTAGTTTTTTGTGGTTTTGTTTGTTTTTTTTTACTTTAAAAAATGTGACTACTAGAGAAGGTGAAGGGAGCTGTTCTAGATGCAGGAGACAACACAGAGCTTCGGTTCTAGTGAGGCGAGTGACATGATAGACATGTGAAACAGGCAAGCGATAGGAATATACAAGAAATAAGAGCCGGGCGCGGTGGCTCACGCCTGTAATCCTAGCTCTCTGGGAGGCTGAGGCGGGCGGATTGCTCGAGGTCAGGAGTTCGAAACCAGCCTGAGCAAGAGCAAGACCCCGTCTCTACTATAAATAGAAAGAAATTAATTGGCCAAATTAGCCGGGCATGGTGGCACATGCCTGTAGTCCCAGCTACTCGGGAGGCTGAGGCAGCAGGATCGCTTGAGCCCAGGAGATTGAGGTTGCTGTGAGCTAGGCTGACGCCACAGCACTCACTCTAGCCTGGGCAACAAAGCGAGACTCTGTCTCAAAAAAAAAAAAAAAAAAAAAGAGAGAAGAAATAAGGCAGGTGGGAGAACAAGGGGCAGGAAGCCCTGACATCGTGTGAACGAGAGGCAGTGCTGTGTAGGGTGAGGTGGCCTTTTCATCTCCCAGGAATTGAAGAAGGTGGAGTCATCTTTACTCTCATCAGTTATAAAATGATGGCAGACAGACTTCCTGAAGGGATCAGTCAGGAACAAGTTCTGTTGCAATGTGGGGGTGCCTTATCTGTAGGGAACCTGAAAACCATACATCACAACCAAAAGTCAGACTGCTTTGTATTACCACCAAGCACTGGCAATTTTATGTCAGCAATAAATACTCCTCCCAGGAAAAAACACTCTTATTGGTCTAAATCTAAGCAACTAGTTCTGGTTACTGCTGGGTTTTAATTTTATATATAAATAGATATATGTATGTGTGTGTGTATATATATATATATATATATCTCCCATTTTTATTACTAAGTTTTTAATAAACATTTGGCTTGACATGGACGTTAACCCCAAACCTCCCAGTTGAATAGTTGGTTCCAACACATGTACTCAGTTATAGGAAATTCATTTGATTTAGAAGCGTGGGGCCTGCTTCAGGCACAGTTTGATTCAACTCCTGGAGCACTGTGCACTCTTGCATTAAAACAGTAGATTCTCAGCGGACCATGGTAGCACCATGATTGTAAAGACAAAGAAGGACTTGGGTTACTTCATTTGTTGTGATCACTTGTGTTTAAAATTCATAACAGTGAAATGGGGCAGTGAGAACTACCAGCTGACATATTTTTGTTAAAGTGAGGAATGGAAAAACAAGCACCACATGTACTCACCATCAAATTGGTATTAGCTGACCAACACGTGCACATGTAGTAGTAACATTCATCGGGTGGCAGGCAGGAGCAGGGGGAGAGGGAGAGAAGGGAATGGATATATATTCATACCTAATGGGTTTGGTGCGCACCGTCTGGGGAATGGACATGCTTGAAGCTCTGATTCAGGTGGGGCAAAGACAATGTACGTAACCTAAACATTTGTACCCCTGTAATAAGCCAAAATAAAAAAAAGAAATCATGCAGGTGGGATGGGAGAGGAGGGGATGGGTAAATTCACACTTAACAGCTACAATGCACACTATCTGGGGGATGGGCACACTTATAACTTTGACTCAAATGGTACAAAAGCAAATTATGTAACCAAAACATTTGTACCCCTGTAATACTCTGAAATGAAATAAAAGGAAAAGAAAAATATTGTTAAAGTGAAGATTTTAGCTTATATATTAAATATTTTACTTAATTTGCATAACATCTTTAAAATTGAAATGTATTCTTTTTAAATGTAATTGTTGGTTTTAAAACCAATAAAATAATGATTACTACTGATTATAACTGAAAATACTTTTGTTGAACAAAGAAGGATGATAATCCACTGTGGGTGTCACATAAGCTTGGAATGCTACTCCCCCACCCCATGCTCACTCCCCAGGATCCGCTCCTTGCAGAGACCCTGCCTGCTCCCCCCTCAGACTGGATCGCAGCAGAAACACCCCCTGGCAGCGCTGGACCCAGGGATGCATCCATCACTGTGCTAATGTCACTTTAGTTGCAATCTTGGTGGTACAGGGGCAAAAATGCTTTTGTTATTTACCCCTTTCAGGTGATGGGCCCTGAAGGTAAGCTGTGAACAGGGGCCAAGCTAGCAGAAGTTTGATGCCTGGTGCTCTTTTCTGTAAGGCCTGGTCAGGGGACGCACCCTGTCCACACCCCAGCTTTTTTGCTGGCAAAACCGGGATAAAGCTCTGGGTGCACTGACTCCGCGGAACTGTTGTAAGGTCAAGTGGAGGCTGGGCGCTGTGGCTCCCGCCTGTAATCCTAGCACTCTGGGAGGCCTAGGCAGGTGGATCACTCAAGGTCAGGAGTTCAAGACCAGCCTGAGCAAGAGCGAGACCCCCCCCATCCCTACTAAAAATAGAAAGAAATTAATTGGCCAACTAAAAATATATAGAAAAAATTAGCCGGGCATGGTGGCGCATGCCTGTAGTCCAGCTACTGGGAGGCTGAGGCAGCAGGATTGCTTGAGCCCAGGAGTTTGAGGTTGCTGTGAGCTAGGCTGACGCCACAGCACTCTAGCCCTGGCAACAGAGTGAGACTCTGTCTCAAAAAAAGAAGAATAAAAAAGTTGAGTCACTGGTATCAACACCCTGGAGAACTGAATGATGAAAATCGACCATTCTGCACCCAATCCCCTCCTGCCCTAGCTGTGAAGTTGGCACAGACGTGCTGCAGATTCCAGCTCGGCAATTTACCAGTTGTTCAAATCTAGTGAGTTGCTCAAAGTCTCTGTTCTGTCCTGTGAAAAATGGAAATATCGTCACCGTGCGCAGTGGCCGTGATAGTGACCACAGCGGTGTGTGTGATGCCTCTGACTCAGCCTGACGTACAGGCGTCTTCAGCGTCACACTCGTTCTTCCCATCCTGTACAGAGTTCGTGAAAGTTAGTGGTAAGACTGGTGTTGCTTGTGATGAAATATACTGATGACAAGCAAATTATCAGTTTACGATACAAATCAAAAGTGTAAGTATTTCTATGTCTTAAATATTAATACATGAGTGGGCCGGGCGCGGTGGCTCACGCCTGTAATCCTAGCACTCTGGGAGACCGAGGCGGGAGGATTGCTCGAGGTCAGGAGTTCAAAACACCCTGAGCAAGAGCAAGACCCCTCTCTACTATAAATAGAAAGAAATTAATTGGCAACTAATATATTAGAAAAAATGAGCCGGGCATGGGGCGCATGCCTGTAGTCCCAGCTACTCGGAGGCTGAGCAGGAGGATCGCTTGAGCCCAGGAGTTGGAGGTTGCTGTGAGCTAGGCTGACGCCACGGCACTCACTCTAGCCTGGGCAACAAAGCGAGACTCTGTCTCAAAAATATATATATATATTAATACATGAGTGGTTTCCTTCCACCCACCTGACGGGTCACCTGTGTCCAACGCTCATGTCCTGTGTTAGACTGGAAAAGAGGCCTTGGTCTCTGCAGGGCAAGTCAGCGACCTTGCTTAGAGCACAGGCTGGCTCAGGAGTCTCGCCGTGGCTGCAGGGCTGTACATTCATGTCACTTACACTGGCAATAGATGACAGTAATAAAGGCCCTGGCAGCTGTGAGTGGAGGTGAGAGAAAGGACCTTCTGCTAAATTCAATCCATTAATTCTCAGTCGCAAGACAGGTGCATAAATTCTTCTTACACTCAAGGACTCACCAGTAACTCTCCTCTGTCACTTATTGTTAGCATTAGGATGTGGAGGGGAAGAACGACTTCGGAGCCTGTGGCTCTGTCACCCGCCTGACCTCTAGGCTTTCTGCTTCTCAGATACTGAGATTATACATGCCCAGCACAGGATACTATTTAATGAGTTTTTTACATACTAGGAAGTAATTTATTTTAAACAGGTGAGCACGTCTTGGCCTTTTTTTTTTTTTTGAGACAGAGTCTTACTCTGTTGCCCAGGCTAGAGTGCCATGGCATCAGCTTAGCTCACAGCAACCTCCAACTCCTGGGCTCAAGCAATCCTCCTGCTTCAGCCTCCCGAGTAGCTGGGACTACAGGCAGCGCCACCATGCCCGGCTAATTATTTTGTATATATATTTAGTTGCCAATTAATTCTTACTGTTTATAGTAGAGACGGGTCCGCCTCTTGCCTCAGGCTGGTTTTGAACTCCTGACTTGGAGCAATCCACCTGCCTCAGCCT